AAAAAAAAAACCAAAAAAGAAATAAAAAAACAAATGCAAATACTCACTTCAAAGCCAAAATCTGGAGTCCAAGTCCGTCCCTAAAGAAAAAGAAAGAAAAGGAATATTAGTAGTGTTCTAAATCAAAAAAGAAAAAGAAACAACAAACAACACAAATACTCACTCCAAAACTGAAATCTTGAGTCCAGTAATATCCAAGTTCATTTCTAAAGAAAAAGAAAAGAAAAGGAACGTTAGTAGCATTCTTAAATCAAAAAAAAACAAAAACAAACAAAAAACAATTGCAAATACTCACCCAAAGCCAAAATCTGGTGTCTGGTAATATCCAAGTTTATTTCTAAAGAAAAAGAAAGGAAAAGGAATGTTAGTAGCGTTCCCAAATCAAAAAAAAAATAAAAAATAAAAAATAACGCGAATACTTACTTTAAACTGAAAGCTGAAGTCCAAGTTCGTCTCTAAAGAAAAAAAAACCAAAGTTGCGCCATACAAAATCATGGCGCGGCGCAAGCTTTTTAAATTTTAAATTTATATAATTTATATATATGGTGTCGATCACCACTGATGATCTTTCATAGTAAAACCCTTAGGACGTTTCAGTACTTTCTTACAGGATGACACTATGGGATTCTTTTTTTTTTGTAGGTCAGTTTGGTAGGTTCGTTCGGTGTTCTTTTCGCTTTGAGATTCTTTCTTTTTTTGTAGGTCGATGTTTAGCATTCTTCTATAGAGTTTTTCTTTTTTGTAGGTCAGTTCAGTATTCTCTTTCTTGTAGGATGACGCTCCGGAATTCTCTTTCTTGTAGGACGACGCCTTCAGGATTTTTCTCTTTTTTTGTAGGTCAGTATTCGGTATTCTTCTATTGGGTTCGTAGGTTAAGTCATTTTCTCTTTCTTTTAATTTTCCTTTCGTTAGAGGATTCTAATTTCTTTCATTTTTTTTTCTTTAGATCAGTTCTTTTTTCAGCATCAGATTCTGAGTAGGTCTATAAAGCCCTCTTTCTTTCGTTTTCCTTTAGTTAGAGGTTGCTAATCTCTTTCATTTTTTTTTTCTTTAGATTGGTCCTCTTTTTAGCATCAAATTCCAGGTAGGTCTCTAAAGCCCTCTTTCTTTCGTTTTCCTTTAGTTAGAGGTTGCTAACCTCTTTCATTTTTTTTTCTTTAGATCGGTCCTCTTTTCAGCATTGGATTCCGGGTAGGTCTATAAAGCCTTCTTTCTTTCATTTTCCTTTAGTTAGAGGTTGCTAACCTTTTTCATTTTTTTTTTCTTTAGATCGGTTCTCTTTTCAGCATCGGATTCTGGGTAGGTCTTTCAGCTCTTCGACCCTAAGGTGCATATTTTTTTGTTTTTTATTTCATTTTGTTTGTGTTGCTTGTATTGTTTCGTTTTTCATTCATTCTAACTTCTACTCTCTTTCCATTTTGTTGAAGAAAGGGAAAGGAAAAAAAACAAAAGTAAGAAAAATAAAAAAAAAATAAAAAAATTAAATGCATAACATTTTTATTAAGATCGATGCTATTGCGTCATGTGTGTCACGCACTGCAGTTGCACAATTTGTAAATAGTTATTTATGTGGGTAGTCTAAACATAACGTCCACGTGATTGCAGTGTTTTTTAAATATTAGATAATAGTAAAAATTACTAATTATATAATTTATAAATATATTTATTAAAGGTTTAAATTTGAATGCACTTGTATTTAAATACACTTTTCTTTTTTGAAAATTTTTATATAATAAAAATATTAATTATTTTATTAGATGATACTAAAGAATTTCTGATTTTTTTGAATAAATACAGTTTATATCTTATATATTTGCTTATAAATAAATCTTAAAATTTATATATATATATTTTTGATTATAACTAATTTTCACCTAGGATGATTTAACCTGATTATTTTATATATTTTTATATAATTTACCCGGTGATATCACCTCATTTAAATTTTATTAGCTAATTAATATGCTGATCATTTCTTATACTTGTTTATTTTTTTTTTAAATGTACTTAGATAATCTTTTTTTTCTTTAGACTTTTCGCTTCTTTGCACGGCACTCAAAGTACGTTTTCTTTCTTTTTTTTTATTTGCTTCTTGCATTTTTTTTCCTACTAACTTTATTTCATTTTTTTAGATCCTTTAGCTCTTTCGACTTTGCAATTAAGGTATATATATCTAGCACTTATTTTTTATTTCATTCTTATATTTCGTTTCTTACATTTTGTATTTCACTTTTTTTAGATCTTTCAGTTCTTCTTTGCAACTACTAAGGTATGTTTTATTTTTTTGTTTTCGTTTATTTATTACATGTAATTTCTGTTCCCTACTAACTTTATTTCTTTTTT